ACAAAAAAGTGGTTTCCATTCAACCTTGTTTTATGAAAGTCATAACTTATTTGTCATTCATATTTCCTTTTAAATAATATTCAGTACACAGACATAAATAATAATCTTTATAATTAACAACAAAATTTTTTGCTTTAAATAAAAACACTAATGCTACGAAAAGTGACGAAAATGATACCTGCAATATTACTGATTTCAGTAGTGACGTAGCTGCAATGTATGGCTAGCAAGTAAAAATGTTGACTCCAAGAGCTAGTTTATCAGCAAGCGGTGCAATACTAATGTCCAGTACCTAGAAATCTCTTTACATGGAAAAAAATATTGCAAAATATGTATCCTAAGCATATTTATAACATCATTCCAGCTCAAACGTTTCGCCATTTCCTCTCAAGCTCAAAAATCGAGCATCCAAGCTCTTGGCGATAGAATTAGTTTGGCCAGAGATTATGTAAATGTGAAGATGGGAAACTTGTGCACAAACAAAATCTGGCACAATGCCAGCGCTTCGTGTACTGCGGAGAAATTTGTTTCCAGCAACGCATGCGCAATATCTTCCTTAGTTTTGGGAGGAGAATTTGGAGAGATGAGAAATCAATCAATGGCGGACGATTATTTGACAATTATCCCTAACAAGTAAGCGCGCTTTGTATAACATATCTTCGATTGATTTTTTTCACCTTGTTTTCGGTTTTAATAAAAATTGCAATCCTCTTTTTTTCTCCAATCCAATACTTTTCAGTGATTCTTCTGTGTGCAAAGCAAAGAATTATGGTAGATGTGCTTATTGCGATGTAAACAGAGCGGGTTATCCAAATTTAAAATAGTTTCGCTTTCCTCAAAATATCGAAATGTAAGTAAAGTTAAGCATTTTCGAAGATTTCAGTTTATTATTTTTCAATGATTTGTTATATGAACTTATTAGATTAGACTGACTTCGAATTGTAACTATATGTGTGTCTGGTTTTAATTTAATTTTATTTGGTTTTCAAATTCTGTATAATTCTATAAGTGCGTTTACCCTTTTCGGTCGGAAATAAATATTTACAAATAAAATTTATGTACATGTTACCGGCAAAGTATGAAACGCCGGCATTGTATAGATTGACTAGGCATTGTATAGAATGCCTGACGTTTTTAGGTAAAGTGTGAAATGTGAGAAGTATTACATACTTTGCCTAGACATTGTGTAGAATGCCTAGGCATTCTATACAATGCCGGATGCTATTTAGGCAAAGTATGAAATAAACGTCCTGATGAGGCTATTATGTAAATGATGTGCATGTTACTGTGAATGAGCGAAATCAGTGATTGTTGACTTTCGCTTTGGTGAATGTCGGAAATATTTATTACATCCGATTTCATATACATCCGATATTTTAATACTTACTGACGATAGATTAGAAGAAACACTCTGTTTTTGGAGTATCAGGCAAATATAACCGGGCAGTGGCACTTGATCTTAAAAAAACATCAGTGTAGAGTATACCGGGCAAATGTATACCGGGCAGTGGCACTGAACCTTAAAAAAAACATCAGTGTAGGATATACCGGGCAGTGGCACTTGATCTTACAAAAACATCAGTGTAGGGTATACCGGGCAATGGCATTGAACCTTAAAAACCATCAGTGTAGGATATACCGGGCAAAGGCACTTAACTAGACCTAGTATGACTAGGCCTTTGGTAAATGTCCGAAATATATACTAGGTCTAGTGCCTCTGCCCGGGATACCCTACACTGATGTTTTTTAAAGGTTCAGTGCCATTGCCCGGTATACATTTGCCCGGTTTACCCTACACTGATATTTTTTTAAGGTCAAGTGCCATTGCCCGGTGTATATTTGCCCGATACTCCAAACAGTGATGTTTCTTCTAATCAATTGTCAGTAAGTATTAAAATATCGAATAAATGTAATCTATTGTCAGTAAGTATTAAAATAACGAATAAATGTAATTATATCCACGAATAAATTGATATAAAATCGGATGACGTTTTGAATTTGTCATTTTTGAATAACATTTTGACGAATCGGAGATGTATTTCATACTTTGCCGGTTTCTTATTTGGCATTCTATAGAATGCCTAGGCAATGTGTGAAATATAAATCATTTCATACTTTACCGGCTAATTTTAGGCATTCTATAGAATGCCTAGTCATTCTATACAATGCCGGATTTCATACTTTGCCGGTAACATATATAACTAAATACAAATTTAAATAAATGTTTTTCAAGAAAAGATCTATAAATCTGATAGTTTAAATTTTTGAAATTTCATTACATATATGAAATTATTTAAATAGTGTTAAGTGTAAAAAGTGCTACTTTTTTATTCATATAATATGTATAGAGTAGTTTATATTAGATATATATTTTTTTGTCTGTTGGCTCTAAATGTCCAATAAACATTTCCGTCTTTATCTATCGGCACACTAGGGCAATACCCGGGGACCTCATTTTCTCAGGGGAACCTAGAGAATATTACTTTTTTTAAAAATTGCATTAAGAGGAAGAATTTAAGAATAAAAACATTATCTTATATATTTAAAAAAATTTTTTTTTTTATGGAGTATGCATTTTTTTCTGCAAATAGTGATTGCTTATCAAACACCAATAATTGGAATAGTTTATCACCAAGAAAACTTAAAAAGTCAACCGAAAATTATTTTTCTTCGTTATAATGAAAACTTTAGGCCCTCATGAAATTTTAGGTACCTGGGCATTGTAAGATGTTTTAATAACTGTTNAATTGTCAACTATCCAAAATCATTAAAATATATAATCTCTTCATCAGTTCACTCCATTATATCAGCAAAAAGGAGTGCTTTCGAATCTTGCATCCATATAACTAAAGCAAAATATATCGATACAATATTGTGAAGAGCACTCAAAAAAGTGAAACAAAAATAGAACACATTGTGTACAAATATATACATATATATATATATATATATATATTGTTGATTATTGTTATACCTTTTTATGTTTATTTTAGTTATTTTAATTGACTTTCATGGTTTTTAAAATTATTATATGTGGATTACAACTGGTTAGCATATCAATTTTTTTTAAATTATACATAGATTAAAAGGGCTTTATTTGAGTTTTGGGGGTAATCAAAATGAGTTAAAATTATTGCAACAGTCCCTGGCCAAATTATTAGACGCACTATAAAATTCTATGTAAAATCTTAATTACTCAGGTGATACTATACAGCTTTATTGTTTTTGCATGACTGAAACCGGTTTGTACTTGTTTACGTTTGTGTATCAATTGGTTAAATTAGGTGGTATATAATATAAATTTGACCAAATGTTATTAAAATACAGATTATTTATTGTATCAGGTACTATATTATTATATTATAATTAGATCATTTAATAGGCGCACTGTAGTTTTTTAATAATGACATGATTTGCACGAGTTTATATACTATACTTTTATAATTAAACATACAAATGGATTTTTATTCAGGAGATTTTTTATACACCTCCTATTTTTATTTATTTTTAACATATTTCATTACAATGTTAACCAATTGATACACTAACTCAAAGAAGTGCAAACCGGTTTCAGCTAAGTAAAAATAATAAAGCTGTATAGTATCACCTGATAATTAAGATTTTACATAGAATCTTATAGTGCGTCTAATAATTTGGCCAGGGACTGTATCTTGAAAATGATTTATTTTTTGTATGTGAAGTTTTTTAGTTTGTTTTTAAACATTACGACACATTATAGGTCTAAAGTATTTTTGTGCCCGGGGCCCCTGCATGCTATGAAGATGATACTGCCAGTAAAACATAAATTCAATTGATTCTGTTATTTAATTCCCCAATGAATTGTTTTGTTATTAAATTTCCTTTCTAAATATTTTCTTCAAACAATGCCTGCTTTTTTAAAACTACTTAATAAAACATTAATACTTAAGAAAAATGATACATATAATTTATTAATGCCATACATTTTAAGTACCGTTGTCGAATTAGACAGCATTCTTATGTCATATTAGCACTTCAATCTTACTGTGTGATTTTAGTACATTTTTTTTTTATAACATTAGGTGCAAGAAATGGTTAGAGGGCTGCGAAATTGTATCGTTACAGAATGTTGATACTGACAGACTGACTACACAACAGATGTAGATTGTGTTCAAGGCATTCTAAAATTGAAGATTATGTATCAGAAAAAATGCAGACTTGTTCCTATAGTGTAATTCCAATGAACCAATATTGCATCTTTTTACTCTTATGTTATTTTATTTCAGAAACTTGCTCAAATATTTATTTATTGTATAAAATGTATGCAATTTTTTTTTGTGATTTTTATTTTATTGAAAAAAGAATTATTTTTAGATAAGTTTAATAAAGATAAAACAAATTCCGCAACAAGTGTCTTGTTTATTTTTTTAAAACTCTAAGTATATATAATTAAAAAATTTTATATATATATATAGCACATTTCTTATATATTTATATAAATTTTCTTATCTTATATAAACTTTATTTTATGAACTATCTTATATATAAACTATTATATATAAACTATCATATATATAAACTATCATAAAATATATTATATAAACTTCTCATATGAATTTTTTTTATATATATAGCACATTTCTTATACACGTGGAATAATTAACAAATCGAAAAAGTTTTTTTTTTTCAAGGGGAAATGAATTTTACCCAATTTTTTTAAAGTTTTAATGAATTTTTATTTTTTAATAAAAATTACTTTAGTTAAATAAATATTTACTACTTTAAAATTTATAATTCTTCTAAATTTGTGAACTGAAAAAAAAATTAAAAGAAAAATCGAATCCGATTATAAAAATATGAGTGCATTGGGTGAAAGTCAAATGATCTGCATCCGTTCTTCAATCGCTCTTGATGGTAGCTTTCCTGCATTACACCTTCAGTGCCCAAGTTGGGGGAAAGATCGTTACGATTTAACATAGGAAGTTTCCCTTCTTTACGCGAAGCGTATAAGTTCTTTGGTAGGGGTTCATGGTACAGACACAAGTTCCTCTTGTGATGATGAACATTAGGGGGTTCTACAAAAACAAGGGTAAGTGAGTGTTCCTAATGTGTAATTTATTAAGTATTTTCTGAATTCTGTATTAAACACTCATATTTTATTTATCGTTTAATATAAGTTAATGAATGGTGTTTTCAATAGAAATGGGGGAAAGAAAACATATCTCCTGCTCTTTATGATGCAATTTACCGTCACGATTTCTGAAGACATCTGCTTTTAATATTTTATTGTGGGAGGCGATAATTTCAAACGGATAATGTAATTTTTAATAAAATAAATATTTTCTGAGCGCTAATCTGCTGCAGGGATAATTTCGCGATTTACTACAAAATTTGGCGAGATTCCTGCAAGTGTTTGCCAGAAGTTTTTTGATGGGGCATCAGGAGTGGGGGCAGATTTCATGGCGTTCTTGTTGGATTAATTCCATAACAAAAAAGGGAGTTGCTTTCCCATTATTTTAAAAATGGAAACTGCTTAACTAATATTAATATAAAGAAAAATATTTTTCATATATTAACATGTATGCAACAAGGTCTAAGGTGAATTCAGTTTTTCTTAAAGAAGCAAATATTAATAGATACTTCAAAATTGAACACTCCTAATGTGAAATTTATGAAGAAAAAAAAATCTTTTCAATGAATAAATTAAAGAATTTTTGATTTTTTTTCTTCTTTTTTTAAAGATGCGAATTATTGTTTGGCAAAATACATTTTAAGACTAAGCATTTATTCTATCTCATAAGACCGACACTGTTTATTGAGACAAAAAAATTTTTGCAATTAAATATTAAAAAATTAGCAATAGTTCTATTAAAACAAATTAATGTCGCATATTACTTATCAAATAAATTCTCATCCTCATCCATGATTCGTCTACCTATGATGATATTTTACCTCAGCGTTATGACCAGTGCGTGTCAGCAGGCAGCATTTGTCATGACCAGCGTAATTGATAACAGGGATTTAAGCCTCGGTTACTTCATCATCGTGATGCATGCTCTGTCTCTTGAGCCATTGTTGCAGATCATAAACTACTATGGGCACTGTTGGTGGTCAGCCTACCGGGTTTGATATTATAGAATTTTGTAATATATATATATATATATATTCCAAATATTTTCCTACTTACCACTGCAACCTCTTAAGTTATATTTTTTAACCTCTCCTTATTCATAATATTATACATAAGTTAAAACTACTACTATCTGTAATATTTTTACAGCTATGCTTGTTAAAATCAAATTGTTGATTTTCTTTTTTTTAATAAAAATTATCTACATTTTTAATAGTCTTACCTACTGAAGTATTAGATTGCTAAAAACTGACAATTTTACAGTGGGTGCTTTATGATGACTGCCCTTAATATATATGTTTTTACTATGCCGATTAGCTCGTAGATGAATAACCAGTTAAATGAATCTACAGTCAATTGTTAAAGTTAATAAATAATCAGAGATTAAAGCAGTCTATAAATTATTTTGTAAATCAATAAATGGTAGGTTTTGTGTTATTTTATTTATCATATCATCAATCCAATTTTCTCTCATTTATTGATTTAATGACTCATTCATTTTCTCTATCAAAGATTAATCCGTAATCCATTCATTTACCATTGTTTTCTGATTGATTCGGTCGTTTGTTCATTGATCCGCAGAATCATATAGTTGTTGATTTAATGAGTCTCTTAATTATAGGTTTGACTAATCAATCGGATCTTCCTTTGTATTACTCACCATAATGTTATGTCATTTTTCTAGAGGAGTAATTTTTATTTTCTAAAAAAAATTATAATAACACATGAAAAGTTAGCTAACCTCAAATTGTGTCCCCCTTATCTCCCCTATCATTGTCTATTATTTCTGGATTGTTGGCTCTGTCTTCTACTATTGGATGCTTTAACTATTCTTTACTGCTCATGACCCATGAAATTAATTTATTTCTTAAAAAAATATTTCACAAGTATGTTTTATGTGTGCTTGAAATATCAATGTATAAAAAGTTTTTTTAATAATCACATAAAATCCTGAACGAGAATTAGAATTTCTAATTAAGTTTTTACCTTGAAATTACCTTATTATGTTAAATTCTTATATGCGTTTAATTTACAAACCTTATTGATACAGATGATATAGTTTAAAATTAATAATTACAATAACAGTCAGAAGATGGTCGTCAGACATTACGTTCGATTTCATTAATTTTAATTAATTAATGAAATCGAGCCTTGAAGACCATGGCGTCACCGACGTAAATTGAATCCATGAGAATACTACTTTATCTTAGACAGAACTGGCGAAGATCGTAACCTTACTTTTTTATTTCATTTTGCAATCTATCAAATTATAAAAACTCTTTCAGCATTTATATATCTAACATTATTTACGCCATTGACCCATAATGCAGGATATAAAATTGGGATCTGTTTTTGCAACCAGAATTTGTGCCACCCATATCCTTGTTCAAACATAGGTTCCTCCTTAGTGGATATTTCAATAAGCTGCTCCTGTATTATTATAGATTCATCTGTGTTTGGGATCTGAGTTTGTCCTTGCACAACAGGTTTCAATACTCAGTCGGGAATATCCAAGTGAATAATTTCTTCAAATCTTTGGTTCAAGTCTGCATGAAGAGTCATTAGGTGTTGACTGTAAGCAAGTAAATTGAACAATAACTAAGTTTTAGGAATAACATTAAAATAATTTACACACACCATTGTTACTACAAGTGACCCTCAGTACTTAAGTAACATACAGTATTTTAAGCACCCACTTATATTTATGTTTAATCACGAAATAAAAATCGCTAGTATTTCATTTATTTTATTAAAAGTAAATTTCTTAAACAAAAGACAAAAATTAACATATAGAAAACACTCCTACTTCATGTGGTCCTATATGGTAGTGAGCGCTGGACTCTTAAAAAAAAAAATAGAGGAGAACAAATACGCACATGCTGACCCGCATGTGGGTATACTGAGCTGGAATCAGTGGGAAGGATCTTTGCCTCTCGTGCAACTCTGTAGCATTTTGCGAGAAATTCTAAATTTCAGGCTTCATTTTCCGCCCTCTGACTGAAATCAAACCAATAAATCTCTAGAATTTTCGCCGATTACGGGGATCAACCAAACATTGTCAATTTTCCCCCCTAATAGCGATAGAAAATATTATTTCTCTTATTAATTTCATTGTTGGCGACGCGCATTCGTCTTATTCACTGACAAGCTAATGGCCTTCTTCAGATATTCTATTTATAGATTAGAATCATAATCTTTAAACTGGACTTGTGGATTATTCACTACTTGTGTATTTTTATGTGGGTTCCCAGAGCAGTGAAGAATCCTGAAAGCTTTATCACTCCAAAATTTCTATCTCTTTTTTAATCATTAAATTTAAGAATTTGGAATTTCAGAAATAATATTTTACATGAGGGATCGTCCACCAATTGCATAAAATTTTTTTAAACTTTTATTGTACTTTATTACTTTTTTTGCTTATTACGTATTATTAATTATTGTATTGTTACTTTTTAAGATTCCAGTGCTCTTAAGTGGTCTTATGAGATAACTTAATATTTAGAGACAAGATTTTAATAAAGTATGAAGTGATGGGTTTTTAATATTTTAAATGCTGCAAAGATCTAGTTAATGTAAAATAATTCAGATTTGTTATCCAAAAAAAAAACTTGAATTCATCTCTTTATAATTTTATTTACAAACAACTGAAATTAAATTTCAATTACCTCAGATTTGTTGAATATTATGAATGAGGGGACTATGTAATAATTTACTTCCGACAAAATATTTAGTTTTAATACTCATTGTATTTACACTTCAAAATTAGTTAATTTTTTTAAATATAGTGGAACCCGCTTAAGAAGTTTTTTAAGGGAATGGAAAGAAATGACTTATTAAACGGGAAACTTTTTAAACGGTAAAGGTTAAAAACTATTTTTTTTTTTAAATTGTATAACTTATATTACAGAATCAACAAAATGGAATATATATTTAATATTACTATTCATTTAGAAAAAAATAACTAATACCTACTCTATTTTTTTAATTTATCCAATGTTATTTACACAGAGATGCACACATTTTTACAATTATTGATGAGACTTCGGCAGGAAAAATCATATACAGTCGGACTTCTATTTAACGAACTTCCATTTTACGAATTTCTCTATTTTGCGAATTTTTTCGTGGAACCAAGAACATTTTGGAAATTTCTTCGTTAAATAACTTCTAAATAGCGAAGGGAATTTTCTATTTAACGAATTTTTTTTTTGGATCTACTTTCCCCATTTCCCAAAATATTTGAGAAAATTATTAACTAGTTAACGCATTTTATGGGGGAAATAACCTTGAACTGATTTTCGCATCCCCTTAACTTTTAGAGAAAGCAGTAAAATTCCTTTCCCTTTTTGTTTGCATTTCATACAGGAAATGCAATCCCACTAGAAAAGGGGGGAAAGGGTCAAATTCCTTGAATAGGAAATGAGCAGAGAAGATAAAAGGAATGGGTCATCAAAGTGTGTGGTCCCTGGTCCCTTATTGACATGTCCTATTATCTCCACCCCCACTGTTCACTTCCTTTCTAGAAAAACTTTCAACTTTCTCGTTGTTCACTCGGTAGAGCTCCTGTTTTAAGATTGCTGATCAGAGTGCTGCTTGTTGCTTTTCTTACGGCTGCAAAATGTCGAAGCGAAAGTGCCTGACTATTAAAGAAAAAAATTACAAGATAAAGGTGCATCAATTGCAATTTTAATNATACAGTGGAGCATCGTTTATACGACGATCACTTATACGACGTTTACATTTATACGACGTTTTAGTGTGGTCCCAAATCATTCCTATTCATTTTAATGTAAAAATATATCGTTTATACGACGCACAGAATCGGTTATACGTCGGTTTTTAGATTTTGCTCACGTTTATTTTATTTTTTCTTGTTTAAAAAAGGGCGGAATTTGCCAACATGAATGATACAGAAAAGGGTGCCAACAAGAATGCTTGGATGACGACCGTAATTTTTA